GCCCAAACTCACCCAGCTAGCTTTCATGACGAAGGCGGAACTAGAACTCACCGTCTCCTGGTGATTGGCCCAAACTCACCCAGCTAGCTTTCATGACGAAGGCGGAACTAGAACTCACCGTCTCCTGGTGATTGGCCCAAACTCACCCAGCTAGCTTTCATGACGAAGGCGGAACTAGAACTCCCCGTCTCCTGGTGATTGGCCCAAACTCACCCAGCTAGCTTTCATGACGAAGGCGGAACTAGAACTCACCGTCTCCTGGTGATTGGCCCAAACTCACCCAGCTAGCTTTCATGACGAAGGCGGAACTAGAACTCACCGTCTCCTGGTGATTGGCCCAAACTCACCCAGCCAGCTTTCATGGCGAAGACAGAACTAGAACTCACCGTCTCCTGGTGATTGGCCCAAACTCACCCAGCCAGCTTTCATGGCGAAGACAGAACTAGAACTCACTGTCTCCTGGTGCTTGGCCCAAACTCACCCAGCTACCTTTCATGGTGAAGATGGAACTAGAACTCACCATCTCCTGGTGATTGGCCCCAAATCACCCAGCCAGCTTTCATAGCTAAGATGGGACTAGAACTCGCCAAAGCCTCTTGAGATGCCAGAAACACAAAGAATGTATTCCATCAGAAAAGACTATTTTCTTAATGGAAGCATCAAATGAGAGTTAAAGAGAAGGGCAAGATAAGGAACCCATGAGTTTATACAATCTGAAAAATATCCCAATTAAGGTTTCCCCCAACCCCTTTAATTCTTCTGCTTAACAATTAGGGAAAACAAACTGCCTGAGATTGTCTGGGATTCATTGAACGTTTAAAGACCCGAAACCTATTTCTTAAAAACGTATTAGTTGTAAAAATGCTACACAGCACCTCTACCGCAGTGTGCTTCTCTATAGCTGGCTGCGGAATTCTGGGAATTGAAGTCCATACATCTTAAAAGTTGCCAAAGGTGGGAAAAGCTGCTCTCTCGGTTGTGCAGAGATTCCTCAAAATATACAACCCCCCCCCCCCCCCCGAGCAGCATTCAATTTAGAGTCGTTGAGGCTACTTTTCAGACTAAAGATCCAGAATGCCCACTTTTTATAGCACAGGTTTTTCCTGGGCACAAGAGATTTCCTGTGCTATGGTGCTAAATGGGTAGCTGTGCGTAAGCACCAACATCATTCATTACTTCCTTTCGCCCAAGCAGTCAATACAATCAACAATGATTCTTTTCCCCCCCCATTTCTTCCAATGTTTTTAGATTGTGGTACTCTGGGTGGGCACCAATAACCACGGACACACTGCGGAGCAAGTGGCTGCGGGCATAGAATCCATCGTGCGCGTCATCAATCAGCAACAACCGCAGGCCCGCGTGGTTGTATTGGTGAGTTCCGAGCCCGGCTCAGTCTGATAAAAACGCCTTTTAAAAAAAAATGCCACCTTCTCAACCAGGCTGGGTCCCTCTGCCGCTCTATAACATTAAGCCAGAATTTAATTAGCAATAGCAATAGCAGTTAGACTTATATACCGCTTCATAGGGCTTTCAGCCCTCTCTAAGCGGTTTACAGAGTCAGCATATTGCCCCCAACAACAATCCGGGTCCTCATTTTACCCACCCCGGAAGGATGGAAGGCTGAGTCAACCCTGAGCCGGTGAGATTTGAACAGCCGAACTGCAGGACTGCAGTCAGCTGAAGTAGCCTGCAGTGCTGCATTTAACCACTGCGCCACCTCAGCTGTATTATAAGAGAGTTGGCAAAAGCAACTAGAAACATATGGCTTGCAAGATATGGCTGTCTTCATACACTATATTGCCAAAAGTATTCGCTCACCTGCCTTTACTCGCCTGTGAACTTACTCTAGGTGACCTCCCATTCCTAATCCATAGGGTTCAATATGACGTCGGTCCACCCTTGGCAGCTATAACAGCTTCAACTCTTCTGGGAAGGCTGTCCACAAGGTTCAGGAGTGTGTTTATGGGACTTTTTGACCATTCTTCCAGAAGCGCATTTGTGAAGTCGCACACTGATGTTGGAGGCGGTTACATGGCCTACCACTTCGTGGCTGAGTTGCTGTCGTTCCCAAACACTTCCACGTTCTTATAATACAGCTGACAGTTGACGGTGGGATATTTAGGAGCGAGGGAATTTCACGACTGGATTTGTTGCACAGGTGGCATCCTATCCCAGTTCCACGCTGGGATTCACTGAGCTCCCGAGAGCGACCCCTCCTTTCACCAATGTTTGTAAAAATAGTCTGCATGCCTAGGTACTTGATTTTATACACCTGTAGCCATGGAAGTGATTGGAACACCCGATTCTGATTATTTGGATGGATGAGCGAATACTTTTGGCAATATAGTGTATTTATGAAGCTTATAGCTGTGGTCCTTGACTTATGGCCGTAATTGAGCCTGGTATTATAGTTCTAAGCCATGGCTGTCATTAAGTGGGTCACCATGCCAGAGTTTTGCAGTGGTTATAAAGCAAACAACACAGTCGTTAAAATAAGCTATTTTCTTCAATGGGTGCATTAATTTATTTTTTGATGGGACATGGAATTAAATGCTAGAAACTGGCCAAAAAAATTGGAAAAAAATTGTAGCCACGCTGCAAACAGAAGCCAGTTAGTATGTCTGTGTGTCTCCAGCAGAACTCCAAAATCAATTCTGTAAGTAGTCCTGGGGAGAAGTGTCGAGACTTTGGTCGTTAAGCGAGGATGGTGTGTCCTAAATGAAGACTGCTTTCCCAGGTTCATGGAGCCCAGCTAGTGGCCGGTTCGCACATTGCATCAGTTTAGACACAAAACCCTTTGTGAGTTTTAAGATTGTGGGTTTTTTTTCTGTATCCTGCACAGGGCTTGCTGCCACGGGGCAAAAACCCCAACCCGTTACGCGAGAAGAACAGGAGGGTGAACGAATTGCTGGAGAGTAAGATGCCGCTGCTACCCAACGCCTCCTTCCTCAATGTCGACCCGGGTTTTGTGCATTCAGACGGGACTATCAGTCACCATGATATGTACGACTACCTCCACCTGACCCGCAACGGCTATGCCAGACTCTGCCCCGGGCTGCACCGCTTGCTGCTCTGCCTTCTGGGAGAATGCCATGCTCAAACACCTTGATGGATGCCCGTCAATCACACACCCAAGAGGCTTGTCGTTGGTTTTGAGGGACTGCCGGAGGCTTAGAAGCTAGATTGATGTTGGTTGCAGATTGGCTGTTTTCAACCATGCTGACTGTAAGGTAAGTGGACTCCAACTCCCAGAATTCCCCAGCCAGCACAGCTGGCTGGGGAATTCTGGGAGTTGGAGTCCACCTGTCTTAAAACTTGCCAATGTTGAAAAACCTCCTCCAGAGTGCCAAGTTTCCCACCCATCTGGCATTTGAAACTGGGTACTTCTTTACTAACTCCATAAGCCTCCGTGTGGGTCGTTTTCTTGCAAGGGGTTTGGGAAATGATTGGCACCGTGAGCTGCCAAAAAAAATTTTTTTGGCACAAGTTAATGGGAACCTGTCTTTTTTTTTTTTAAGTAATAAAAATAACTTGAAGTTTCTGGGCAGAGGTTTGTGTTTCTTTTTACCTATTAGCTGAGTTTCAGACTAGGGTAATTAATGCCCTTAATGGGGGCGAGTCATTCGTCCCGTTTGGCTGGTCACCTGGCTTAAAGAAAAAAAAATAAGGTTTCCCGCGAAGACATTAGCAGCAATTTGCATGCAAAGTTCTTTACGTTTGTGGAGAAATCTGTTCTTGCTCTCTGCAAATGGCTTCCTGGTCACTCCCTTTCTGAATTCCTTAAATTTTATCTTCCTGAAGCTGAAAGAGAGGGACTGTGTATGGGGTTTTTTTTTAGCCAGCTTTTATAGACAGAGTACAAAGCTTAAAGCTGTGCTGGGAGGACCTTGTAACATTTGCCTTCTCCTTCTCAGTTGAACTTTTGGGGAATAGAGGTAGAATAGTTAGGAACACAATTGAGCCCATTTCTCTCGTTAAGCGAGACGTTCGTTCGTTTCAGGAGTGTGAAGATCTGTCCGTGAATCTCAGAGACTCTGTGCCCAGTCTTTCCTTGGACAGCGCCTCATTTGGAAAATATTTCCATGGCAGCTTTCCAAGCTAGATAAGGCCTGTGGTCATAAATCCACCTTTGAAAGACTATTTTACCAGGCCTTGGCTGAATGTGAATAAGAGGAATTCTCATTTAATAAAAGGGGTTTTGCTGGGACCACGACTCTGCTTCGTGCTTTTTGGGGGAAGCCGAGGTCAGAACGGAAGAGTCACTGCGGAGAAAACGCAGGCAGAATGCAGAAGGAACGGAAATTCTCAGCACGGACTGAAATCCTACAACCAAACCAGATTGTTAAAGAGCTTTAATAGTATGTGAGGTGGAGCCACCCCAATACAGAAGGGGGTTACACATGGTCAACATGTGGCTGTGGCCACCAGGGCACTCGTACTCGGGAGGGGAGCCCGCCAGGCCAGCTCCCTCTCTCCCAAGACCCCACTTTTAACTCCCGTCCAGATTTAGGCTGTGCCCACACACGAGAGTCCCTCTTCGTTCCTCTCTTTGCAAGGCGCTCTTGGCGAGACTCCGGGGAGCCCAGCCTTGCCCTGGATCGACTTTCCTCTCTCCTCCTTTTCTTTCCTTCTCGCTTCTCCAGTGACCCGAGCTTGCCGAAATGACCAAAGCGATCACTTGTCCCGGGAGGCCCAAGCCTCCATTCTTCCCACTGCAAGGATGGATGGAAAAGGCTCCTTTTTCCCCCTCCCCCCCCACCTCCCCTCCCCTCCCCCTGCCCCATGACTTGACACAGAAGCAACAAGTAGGTGGGATCTCCAAATACTTATAACATTATTCAAAGGAGATGACGTGTTTGGGGGGGGGGGAGTGGGAGAGGAAATCAACACGAGGTCTGTCATTTTACAGGGGTGGGTTTGGTACGCCTGGGAGAGCCTTCTGGCAGAAGACACCCCCCCCCCCCCTCCCCTCAGGGGTCTCCTGGCCTGTGGCCTGGAATGGTCAATAGGTCAGCACCACCGCTTGAGTTCTTTTGGGAGGAGGGAAGGTGCAGAGGGCCCATCCATGTCGGATCAGAATGGCTGAAGAGGCCTGCAAGGAGCCCAGGCAGTGTCTACAGGTTGCGGAAGCTTCTCCCGTACAGTCACAGAAGAGAGCAGGTGAGGTTAGCAAAGGGAGGGGCACCAGTGAGGAGCAGGGCAAGGGTGGGGGGCTGGTAAAGCTCTGGGGCTCCCCCACCCTTCAGGCGGCAGCTTTTCTCGCTTGCTGTTGGGGGTGGCTCTTCATCTGCTGCTGGTGGGAGCAGCGGTGCTGCTGCCGGCTGTCCCTGGGGAAGACTGCTGGCTACAGTCCCAGCCAGCGGCTGTGGCGGAAGGGCTGGCTGCTGGGGGGGCAGCCTCTGTGCTCTGGGCGGAGTCTTGCGGGAGGCCCAACTCCGCCAGCTGTCCCTCTGCGCTGCTGCCCCCCGCCACGCTGCCCGGGGTGCCTCCGGGTTCCGGCGTGCTGGGGGCTTGCTCCGTCGGAGTGGCTGCCTGCATAATCTTCTGCCTCACTTCCCGGATCTTCAGTTGTAAGCAGACCTTGGTGGGGAAAATGTCCGAGTAGCGGGCTTGGAAAGCTGCAGTGGCTTGGGCTGGAGAAAGGGGAGAGGGGGAAAAAGAAACAACAACTCAGCGAAGCGCAATAAAATTCGGAACAGGTGAGACAATGGCAAGGGAGCAGCTCCCTGCACAGGGGGTGCTCGACTTACGACAATTCAGTCCAATATTTCTGTTGCTAAGCAAGATGATAGTGGTTATGTGAGTTTTGCCCCATTATACGACCTTTCTCACCACAGCAGTTAAGTGAATCACTGCAGTTGAGTTAGTTGAGTAACTAGATTAGTAACCCAGTTGTTAAATGAATCTGGCTTCCCCCACTGACAGATCCCAGCCCGCAGGCGCCACCAACACGAGTGACATCAAGCTAGTCATGCCTACCCCGGCCACACACACCATGGGCACAGCCACCTGCCCCCCACCTTACCCCGGTCAAACACAACCCAAATGCGACCCTCAATGAAACTGAGTTTGATACTCCAGCTCTAGGAAATCCCGAGCCCATGGATGCTCAAGACAGCCATTCAGTTGGAAGTCAAACATGGCAAAGGCAGTGAATCGAGAGTCAAAGCCACAAAAATGACTCCTACCGGAAGGGAAGAAGCCATGATCCTGGAAGAGCTGCATGACTAAAGCTCTCCGCTGATCCAGGGTCCGTCGGAGTGAAGAGTAGGGCACCTTCTCATACTCCAGTTCCCCAAGGACGTCATCCGTATCTGTGCCTACAGAGAGATGGACGCTGCTAGGAGGAGGAGCCTGTAGAGACTGTACACTTGCCAATTCCTAAGGAACTCCATCCAGCAGCACCAAGGAGAAGGGCCTTCTCTGTGGGGGGACCCTCCCTGTGGAAATAACACTGCCCTCCCCACACCACCCTTTGACACTCCTTCCAAAGGCCCTGAAGACAGGGCTCTGCCAATGGGCCTGGGGACCAGAGAATGGGATGGCCACTTGATGGGCTGTTTTGTTTGATTGTTGTTGTCAGAATATTCATGAACTGGAATAGGACATAGCAACAGG